ATTAACGCTGGTCACTCGTTATACATGGACAATTATTACAATAGTGTGGATTTGGCAGAAACTTTGTTACGCCAAAACACGTACTGCACAGGGACACTTCAGGTGAAAAGAAAGGGAAATCCGGTAACAGTGACCAGCAAAAGATTGACAAGAGGTAGTGTCGTATACAGAAAAAATCGGAATGGTGTATGTGTCATGAAGTGGAAAGACAAAAGGGAGGTTTTGACTCTTTCCACAGAACATACACCGGATATTCTGAATACGACAAACTGGCGTGGTCGTGGCGTGTCGAAGCCTGAAATTATTATAAAATATAATAAATTCATGAAAGGTGTAGACCGGCATGACCAAATGCTGTCCTACTACCCATGCGAGCACAAAACCATACGATGGTATAAAAAAATTGGCATCCACATTATGCAAATGATGTTTTTGAATTCCTATTTCATGTTTAATGAAGGGACTGGGAAAAACATATCATTGGAATCGTATAGAAGTGAGGTATTGCGTGGCCTTTTGCCACCACCTATTTCTAGAATAGATCATCCAGCGCTCCCAACACACATGCCCAAGGAATTGAACAGAAATTCCAACGGTGTGTTGAAGCGGAGAAAGTGTGTTAGATGCTGGAGTGTACACAAAAAGAGGAAGGGCAGCGGTATTTTCTGCCCTGATTGCGACGTAGGGCTATGCATTGCATGTTATGGCTCATATCATATTGAAAACAAATTATTACCTTAGAACATTAGGGTAATAACTTGTTTGTTTAGCTTTTTATCACCTGATGGTAAGCAATCGGTATTTGGTGATGGGAATTTTGATGGTGGGAATTATGGTGGTGGGAATTATGGTGGTCGGAATTATGGTGGTGGGAATTTGGGTGGTGGGGGATTTAGTGATGAGAAACTGGTGATGGGGAATTTGGTGACGGGCAATTGGTGATTGGGAATTAAGGTTTTGATGAGGGGGTGTTTAATGATTGTGGGAAATTTGGGATTTAGTAAATTGGGTTGTGGTGATTGGGGAAAATTGGGGGTGGGAGGATTGGGGATGTGGTGAGGATTGAGCCTTCGGACACCTTAATCACACGGAGAAACAAAGCAAGCGTAGTTTTACGCCAGGTTTCTGTGAGGTTCAGGCTTTCTGTTGGATACTGCTCTCCATAGCTAAATTGGTGGACCAGTCGCACTGTTAAAGTCCACGTTTCTTTCCTGTACGTTAAAGCTTTGCGACATGTGATGAAATGTTCATCTACGATAAAGACCCCTTTCTTTTCAATTGAATTGTCCTTGTGCAAATTTTAAATGTGAGAGATCTCTCACGTTTGAGATTAAGTTCTATTACGAGAATCTCATGTAATGATTTGGTTGAGTTTTTGATTTTGGCATGTATTTACATTTTTTTCGTGAAATCAATATTTTTGGCGTGCAAAGTTTGCCCCGCACCTGGTCTGCCTGGATGCCTGGTCACCAGGCATTGCAAAGCACAGGAAATTATGCAAAATTTCGAAGGTGTGCATTGCAATGACACGTGGACTAGGCCTACAGGGGACACCACGAAAAAAAAAACGCGCCGCTTACTCTACCTCCAGGTGGTGTGGAAATGAGTTCATTCAAATGTAATTAGATGTATTAAAATATACCTAAGTACATACATTGCGGCGCTCGATCACCAAATACGTAAATATTGGTTGTAAAAAAAATGTAAATACATATACATATAATTTTATTTTGTATTGTACTAGCTACTTCCTCGCGATTTCCCCGCTCTGCAGGACTCCTTCAGCTTTCAGCTTCAGCTTTATATAATAGTCATAATACCTATAGTATTATTATTATTAAGTATAATTATGTTTATCAATAAATAATAAACAAAATAAAGTATGTAATAAAGATACCTATGTACTCTGTTTTTATATATGTGTTGTCCTCTGTGTTGAATGTGTGTACATAAATCAATAAATAAATAAATAAGAATTTGCTTTTTACTTATTTTTGTGGACTCTGTTCATATTCATAACATTGCGAATTTATCTGTAACTAGTCCAATGATATTCAATATAAAAGACAAACATGACCAATCGGTTGTGCGGAAATGCGGCGAGCACGCTTGCGCGAGCGAAGTATAGCTCGGGAATGTTCGGCTATGTTCGGGCGGCCGTGTGCCGGGAGCGCAGGAGCTTACCTACTCTAACATCTACCGCTGGCATCGCGATACATACGATTAAAAATCCAACATCAACCTCCTATGTACCTATTTGTAGTTGGTTAATTAATATACTAAACCCATCCCCTAAATGTAATAAAAGTTTTTCTGAAAACCGCATCAAAATCGGTTCAACCAATCGCGAGATAATCGCGTACAAACAAACACAGGTCAAACTGAGAACCTCATTTTTTTAAGTCGGTTAAATACAACAATTTTCTAAATATAAACCCACTTACCAACTACAGAATTATTACATTCATCCTTAGTTTAAATTTAGATAAAATTTTCAATTTCACTACATAAATAATATTTTGGATTATAAATTCCATGAGGTACAGTGTGTCATCACCCTAACTTTTATCCACAGATACATAATATTCTAGCGCATTTTCGTAAGTATATAACAAACGCACAGACGCGTCGCGGGCACTCGCCGAGAGTCGAGCGGACGCATATACGAGTTCCGGGCACACGGTGAGAGCCGTAAGAACGCGTATATGAGTTTCCGGCACATGAAAAGGGCAAAAATTGAACGCAATAGTGCGTGCGGGGCACTGTAGTTATGTCTTTATTTCGGGCACTGGAAAAATCCACAGGGCAGTGAATGCGTTAACAGGTTGATTGCCGGAAATTTGCTTCATACAAAAAAAAATATATCCGCAATGCCAATAACTGTTTTTTACAAAAATATGCTTTAATTCAATTAAAAGAAGTAAAAATGTTGTTACAGAGCTTATGGTATGTATATAAGCTATATATTTATACAAGTACCCACGCGGAGTCGTCGGCAGGGCGCAAAGATTTTCATGGGCATGGTGTCATGAAACTCCACGCGGAGTCGACTCCTCGCGGAGTCGCTCGGCACTGAAGAATACATTTTGAGATCAGTTTTGAAATGAAACATACGACACGTTCTTACGGAATGCTTTTATTTTAAAATAAGAGTTTTAAAGAACATTTGTATTCTTAGTAATTATATTATAATTGAGAAAATCAACAATTAGGAACATAAAACCTTTTTTAGTGTCCATTATTATACAGTTAGAAAAAAATAATCAGAACATTTAAACAAATCAAAAGTTACAAAACTTATCATAAAATTTAATTCAAACTAGCATGATATGCATCGAAACATTCCTGATCACAAAGGCCCGGCTGCTCTGGGCATAAAACACAGTGGTAGCGAGTTTGTTTACGAATTTTTTTTACAGCGGTACATTGCCGACAAACTTTCCGTTTTATTCTATTAGTTTTTCGAACATGTCCTGGCGCATCTTTTTTAGTTTCTTCGGTTTTGTTTTCTATTTTAGTTAGTTTGTGAACACGTTCTAAACGAGTGGGAACCAGTGAACCAGTTGAAACTGAAGAAACTTTTGGCGGTAGTAACTCATTTATTAGAGACATTCTGAAGTCGTACATATTCAAGCGTTTCCCAGAAAATCTGTTCTATAAAATGTAGGCATTCAAAATCTGTATTTGAAACACATGTATAAAAAATTTTTTGTACCATCGTAGCGTTTTTCTTTCGCATGGATAGTACGACAACATTTGATCTTGCCTATCAATGCCAGACATAAACTGATTATAAAAAGCTAAAGCTTTTGGTTTCTCTTTCGAGATTCCCCTTTTATTGGTTACTGTAATCATTTCATCGTCGTGTTCTGTCGATATGTAAGGAATGTAACGTTTATCTCTGTAACAGCCAATGTGAATGCCATTATGAAAGACAGATTTATTCTCTCCCTTTTTCATCTTACTACTGACGATGTCTGGATTGCATTCACGTTTTTTTCTCAGAGTTCCTGTGCAAAAAGTCTTGTGAGATAACAACTTCGCGGCTAAATTATACCCGTTGTAAAAATTATCCATATAAATGGAATGGCCTTTTTCTAGGAAATCTTTCAATAGGTGTAGAGCCACCTTTTCTGTGTGCCCTTTTCCACTTGTTATATCAGCCGAACCTCCATACAGATGCAGTCTTAGAACGAGGCCATCGGGTTCTGTGAGCATGTACAGCTTCATTCCATATTTATGTCTCTTGTTTTTTATGTATTGTCTAAAAAATAGACGACCTCTGTAGAGAATCATGCTCTCATCTAGTGACAATTCTTTCTGAGCGCATATTAGATACTCCATCTTGTTATTAAAACGTTCGATTAATTCCTCGACTTTGTTCAATCCCCCTGTTGATGAGTTGGAAAAATGCAAGCATCTAAACAGCAACAAAAACCTGTTGCGTGACATATACTGTCGGAAAATTGGAATGTTCAATAATCGATCTGTTTTCCAGTAGTCTGTCAAACGATTAAGACGTATAATGCCCATATGCAAAATTAAGCCAAGAAATACCTTCATCTCCGCGACATTTGTGTCTTTCCAGTCCGTTATTCTTGATTTTAGCCTGACTCCTGGCTTCGCCAAAACGTCAACAGCATGCTTATTAGTTTCTTGAACGATATATGTCAAGAATTCATCATCAAGAAATAAACTCACAAAATCTATTGGTTTTGATTCACTAGATATAGGCACTTTCAAACCGACGTTTTCCGTGAAATCGAAAGTTTTCATACCTTCATTTATTGTTGACCAAGGTACAGACGGTCTATCACGTCCTCTTTGCCCTTGATACAGCCCAGGAGCGTTTAGTGATGCCAAATCCTGCTCAACTTGGAGAGGCGCTGACGATTGAGGTTGTTCGTCTTCTGCGGTAGAGCACTCGGCTTGATCATCTTCAATGGCTGTATTTTCAGAGTCTGAAGACGACGAACCAGTTGACCCTGGTTGATAGTTATCGGAAGACGAGGCGCTAAAGTCAGAGTCAATATGTTCAAGTATTTCTGTGACCGCAGAATCTTGAATAACAGTATTTTTTCTTCGAAATGTATGGGGCAAGCTAGAACTCGCAGATTCTTCATTTTCTAATATTTCTGTTCGTGATGTATACTTAGAACGTGTCAAAGTCGTCGCAGTTTCTTCATTTTCTGATGTATCCGGAGAAGAAACAAAAACAAGACGACGTTTACGTCGCTGTTTGCCAAATGATGAACACGGAGTTTGAGCGTCCATGACTCTCACAAAAAATAAACAATTCAAAAACCAAAATTATTTTACGATGTACCCTACACTATAGGCCCACGCCGACCGCGAAACGACCGCTCACCTACGATGCCGGCGGCAAACTGGCGCTTAGAAACGTAACGGGTTGGCACCCCCGCGCGGAGTCGGCGGCACTGTTACGAATTTCCCGCCAACTCCGCGCGGGGATTCCGGCAATGAACCTGCAGTAAATAACTATACGATAATAATGCACGATAGCATACAGCGCCGAACACCTGACAACCTTAACGTTCGAGAGCCAACGAGCAAATGACCGAAATATCCCCACAACGCTCTATTTATAGATGGTGTCAGATGACGTCACTTGTTTGCCACGGGCAGTTACTATTATCCTAATACGGCCTCTCCTGACCGTGCGCCGTCCTCTGTAAGTTCTGATCAGCACGAGTAATTGTTTCAAAAAATTCTCAGTTGTAAATACTTTGGTAGATCACGTGTCTTTTGACAGAGACTTTCAAATAAATGAGATAATGCATCTTGTGGTCGATTAGCATCAGTAATATGCTTTCTTATTTCATCTCTTTCAGTTCGTCTTTGCTCGCGATTTTTCTCTCGGCGCTGAAGAATCTCTATCATTTCCAGTTGCTTGCTGTTCTTCTTCCCAGATTGAATTGTAGATGTTTTAGCCGGTGAGGGAGGTGATTCAACAACATCAGTATCCGTAATTATTGTATCAGAAGTGTTTTCAGAGTCGTTTCCTTGTATACGATCCGAAAAATTTGAAAAAGTCTCGTTATTTTCTCTGTGTGGCAGTAAAAATTCCATTAAATTCTCATATTTCCACGGTTTCATATTTTGTGCTGCCTGTCCTGTAGTAGTCTTACGTCTTCGAAGAGCTTCTCTATGACTATCTCTTAATTTCTTCCAGTGAGATTTCGCTTCCTTACCTAGAATAAAAAAAAAAACATAATAGAATAGAATAGAATAGAATAATTTATTTGTGTGTACTCCACTTACAATGTTTTTTTTTAATTACTATATTAAAATAAAATTATGCTAGACTATTAACTAGATAATAATAATACATTATTTTGCTTAAAACTATGGACAGAAAAATAATAGGACTAATACTAATATTTGTCGCGATTTGCTTGAACTAGGTTTATGCAACCTGTGTTTCAAGTCATCACTTTATTACTATTCATGTTAAATCTATACAGGTTTGTATTATCACCTACTTAAATAAAATTTAGAAATTATAAAACAAATTAATCTATGTATGTGACCTACTTAAAGTAATTGACCTTAAACACTAATTAACTACGTCAGTACATCTAAAAGTTTTTCTGTGTCATTATAATTTAATTTCAGCAAGTACTCCGTTATTATGTTACAACATTTCTTATGACTAAGGCTGTATACATTACAAGATTTATTTATCTTATTGTACAAAAACGGTCCGAGAAACATATAAAATCTAGTGCAATAGGCATGTTTAGTTTGTCTAGTTTGGCAGACCAGATTATTCCTTTTCTTTACCAAAATTTCACGGTCATAGGTGAGATCCGAATGTTGAAAAAGAACGATGTTTAATATACTTAATTGCCGTACTGTAAGAACCTTACAGGCCTTGTAAAGTTCTTGAGTAGAAAATCTAAAAGGGCGAAATGTCGCAACCTTGAGGATGGCCCTCTGAGCACGTTCTAGTGGAAGCATTATTGTTTTAGCGGCACCTCCCCATGATGTTATGCAATATGTTAGTATTGATTGGCACAAAGCTAAATAGACTTGTTTAATTAATACATAGTCAGCTATATTGCGTAAATTTTTAAATACGTACATTAATTTACGTACTCTTGTGCATAATAAATCTATATGTTTGCGAAAATTTAAATTTGCGTCAAGCGTAACACCGAGGTATTTAATAAAATCAGTTTATTTCATAATAATTGTATGTTACAGATATATGGCAACAGGAGATTCATACCACACCATAGCTTACAGTTACAGAGTAGGAAAAACCTCTGTAGCAAGGATAATCGAGGAAGTTGCCGATGCTATATGGGACTGTTTAGCGCCTATATATTTAGAAGAAATTAAAGATGAACATAAGTGGAGAAATATTGCTGAAAATTTTAAAACTTCATGTGACTTCCCTCATTGTGTTGGAGCTATTGACGGCAAGCATGTCACAATAAAAGCACCTCCAAACTGTGGATCAGATTATTTCAACTATCTTAAAGATCACTCTATAGTGCTTTTAGCGGTTACTAATAGTAAAAAAAATTTATAATGATAGATATTGGATCAAAAGGCAAATTTAGTGATGGGGGAATATTACGAGAAAGCAACTTTGGTCAGAAATTATATGCTGGTAATCTAAATCTTCCGCCTGATGAAGCACTTGTAGAAGGGGGCATCGAGGTTACATAGGTCTTTATCGGGGATGAAGCATTCCCTTTATTATGTAATGTGATGAGACCATTTCCCAGAAAAAACAATATTACACAAAATAAAAGAATTTATAATTATCGTCTTTGTCGAGCAAGACGAGTGGTCGAAAATGCGTTTGGAATTCTGAGTGTCCGTTGGAGAGTTTACAAACGACCTTTTGAGTGCAAAGTAGATACAGCCATAAAAATTGTGAAGGCAACTTGTGTGCTACATAATTATTTAATGGAACATAGTTTCACCTACAATTCTGTGACAAATGAAGATATAGCAGCAACTCCAGTTGAGAACCAACGTTTTGATTTAACACATTCGGGATTTAGAAGTTCTAATGACAGTTTTTTTATCAGGGAAGAATTTTGCAATTATTTTAATCATGCGCATGTTTTGAGCTGGCAAAATGCCCGTGTCACAATTTAAACAAATATTAAGTTTGTGTCTACTAGTAGGTGTGTAATAAATAAATATTAAGTTTGTAGATTTAAAAGTAATATTTTTATAATATTAAATTAGTAACAAAAAATAAGTAAACAAGTATTTACTCACCATTCGCCATTTCACATTCCCTCGCAATCTTTTCCCAAGCCAAATCCTTTTTACTGATGTCTCTGTACGATATATCGCTCATTTTCCATAAACAGGGGTGTAGCTTGACTTTTTCAATAAATAACTCCATAATTAAACCAAATATTATTGACTAAATAAAAATAAAGCCGCCTGTCGTGGTCACCAAATGCACGCGTGCGCCACGAAACCTAGCAATTGACAAAATGGCGCAGGCGTCGCTCGCTTGCTTCCCCGACCGTCCCACCTCCCGCAGTGCCCCACGGCGGTGCACGGAGAGGCTACGCATGTGTACTAAACTTCGCTTTGTAAGAAAATGTATGTAGTTGTTTCCACTGCAACCCACGAAGAGGCTACGCATGAAATGACGTCATTGACACACGCATAGCTTGCTCGAATAAGCGGTTACGTAGCTCAACGCTGTCAGCGTGGGTCTACCCGTGCGCCGTGCCACGCTATACATAGTCGTGGGTCATATTCGTGTACTTCAGTGGAAACGTAGACCCACGTTGTCAAACAAATGAATACACGCAGCTAAAATGCGCCGCGTGTCCGTGCACAGCGTGCACTGCGGTGGAGCCGCGCCTTAAGGAGCACGTCATCAATATAGACGAGCACGTTGCCAGATTCGATGAATCTGCGAAGAGTTTATTGATAATGCGTTGATATACTGTAGGGGCGTTACATAAACCGAATGGCATTTTTAGGTACTCGAAGGCACTCTGGAGTAACAAATCCTGTTTTATGTATCGAACCGATGTCCGATTTGGTGGAACCCTGAAGCCATATCAAGACCACTGAAGAATTTCGAGCCTCCCAATCGGTCTATGTGATCCTCTATGAGAGGAAGTGGATATCTATCTTTTACAGTTATCCGATTGAGTGCTCGAAAGTCCACACACATCCTATCGGTACCGTCCTTCTTCTTTACCAAGATAATAGGACTGGCGTACTCCGAATTGAACTCCCTAATTATAGACTTATCTTATAAATCTTTTACGATATCCCTGACTTTCAATTTTTCCTGATAGGATAGCCTATAAGGGTGGTAAGCTACGGGAACTTCGCTGTTTAAATTAATTTGCATTTTTCCGGTTTCGACAGTCGTAATAGCTGTGCCCGATATGAAAAAGGGTAAGAAATCGCGAACAATACATAACAACGCGCTTAGGTCTTCGCCTTTCAAACGCGTATTTATATCATTTAAACAGTCGAGTTCAGCGGCGTTAATGCATAGCGTCTGATTGGTGGAATGAGTCAAGTATTGTCCTTGTTTTGTTCTAACAAAGGTCACTCCATCCCTATTTAGGACGTCGGTACCAATATTAATAGGTGTATTCATACAGGATGAAGGAACAATAATAAAATCTATTTCGAGTGCAATGTTGCTGAATTCGACCGTAAGGGTGACATATTCGCGAGCAATAATACCGTAATAACTAATTCCTTTAATTACGCAGTGAGTTGGCTTTCGAACACAAGAAAAGTACTTTGCGACGTCAGATGATATAAGGGCGACGTTAAGCGCACCGCTATCAATTAAAATATCGACCGGTATGCCCTGAATGACAGCAGTACTTATATCATTATTACGGGAAGCGTTAGATACCTCCCTGCAAAGGTTAACGTTTTTCTGGTTGTTGGCTTGTGCCTCAGGTCGCGCTTTAGTAAAACATTCGCTCTCTGTGTCCTTTCTTTTTACAAAACGTACAAGTCAGTTTCGTATTACTGTTACCTGAATCTTTACGCTTTTTGGTACAGTTAAAGCTTTTATGCCCAACCCGACCGCACGTGTGACACTTGCCAGCGGATTAATCACTAGCACGTTTATTGGCCGAAGTGCTAGCAGGCCGGCGAGGATTGTCTTTGGTACATCCAGGTTTAACATAAATAGCTAAAAATGAAACTATAGTTTCGACCGTAAGGTCCGCATTTGCGGCAGCCGCGCGTACTTGAGCGTCGTTGATACCACGTACAATAATCTGCACCATCAAATCATCATTTAAGCCCTTAATAATGCGAAGTCGTAATAAGGAACGTCGGGCATATTCCGCAAACGTTGGATATTTATCAGACGTGGTATTCATGACGTCGAAGAGTATATTGGCATAATTTTGTTTTCGCGGACAAAGGGACTTGAAATCTTTCGAAAAATTCGACCATGAACGATCATTTGTCGTCCACTCATAGCCACGTCTTAGCGTCGCCTTTGAGGCAGTTAGTAACCCGCGAGTAGGATTTGTTAAATAGTTTTTCGGCATTATCCAGTTGTGACTTCTCACTTTTTCCTTGCTTCCTAGGTTGGCATATCTGTCTCCTTAATTGGTAGATCTCGACAATTCCATTCCCATCCGCCGACTATGTAGACTTAATGATCGAGGCATCGACATTGCTGTCAAAAATTAATGAGATCGTACTTGAGTCCCACCTAACCACGTCAAGTAAATCAGTTATTGTGGAACTGACTCAGTGAACTGACAAATCGTCAAACACCGAGCGCAAATTGGACAAACTAAAACCAATGCACCGAAACCTTGAAGCTTCGCCTACCCAAGGTCGTGCCCGCAATGAAATCCTCCCGCGCACTGCTTCCGTGTGTTGTCGCATACTGGTGCGCGATCGACTTATCGACTTCTCGTCAGACGACGAACAATAGCAAAACCACCGTCAATGACCTTGACACCACCAAATACGAAGGAGTGGTACTTCAGGATTTCTTTTTAAAAAAAAATTTATATTTAAACTGTTTTAAAGGATAGAATATGCGACCGTTCCGTTTGGAGATTTAATTCAGACTGAGGGGTCGGGCATGCCACCTTACACGTTAGGATTTATTTTATCTATAATAATGATGACAATGCAGTTTTATCTCATCCCAGCGTAAACTCTTATGTGTCAGGGATATAACAGTACAAAATAGGAGAAGTGGTACAAGAGAGAAACAATAACCAAAACAGTAATTGCCCGGTTGAGGGATTGATAGTCGTTTTTTCTTATTATTTTGTTTATTGATAATAAATTCAAGTAAAATAGTTGTGTACGGGACAACTATAAATGATACGATGATATCTTGATAATATAACTTTAATGATAGTTACATGATACAAATGAGTAACCGCGGCGAGAATCGAACGCGAACTGAAGTAAAGTGCGGTACAAAAGTGCTTATTCTACAATATTCCAATAATTGTACGGGTGGACCGTACATGCTCCCAGGCACGAGAGACTAAAATAAAAAATCAAAAATAACATAGGTAAATGTAAGAATTTAAAAAGACAATGATAATAACAGAGAGCACAATATTGGTTGACACACAAACTTAAAGTCTCTAAAAGTATTATTTATTTTAACTTAAAATAGATTCACGTAACATAGGCGATGTAACCCCGTTTTGTTTACACGCACTTGAAATTGCACTGAGCTCAATATCACCGGGTCCCGATAGCTCATTTACACTAGTTACACTAGCACTCTGAAGCTGCTGACGAGGCGAGCGCGCGGGCAGAGCCACGCTGCGCACACGCCGAAGACGCCGCCACACGTGCACGGCTCCTGCCGCGCACAGGGCGAACGCCAATAAGTATATCACCGTGTAATGATGCAAGTCGTGATATGAGAACCCGTCGTTATAATCTCCATCAATGTTCGTTGAATCTTTCATCTGACTCAACTGATCGTGGACTTCCTTTACTAGACCTTGAGTCTCGATGTGGGTATGCTCAGACTGTTCATTAATTGCACCAATAGGTATTTTTTTTTATATAACTATATTATATTTTTATAGGAACATCAGTCATTTATTTCTATATCTTTTAAAATAAAATAATAAAAAATCAACAAAAACAAAACCTCTATAATCACAGTGATTGCCCAGCAAACATAGCAATTGTCATACAAAATAATCAGTTATTAAAATTAAGTTAAAATAACTGCCAGGTGGGCACCTTTGACACCTCTAGCCGTCTGAACGTTTAAATATAATTCTTCGCAATCCGAAGTCGAATCATCATCGGAATCATTAATTTCATAACAGAAATGACCTAATTACAGCAATATATCGGCATCGTCAGGGATGTAACTTTTATGGTGTTCTGGAATACATCTTGAATGGAACGACTGGTGACAGCTACTGCAATCTATTTTGTTTTTTATAATAATACGATATAATAATACACTGCTCACATATAACTAGACTTCACTAGGACTTATTTTAAAACAGTAATTCTTATCGACTCTAGGAATACACTACCACTATCATACCATCTAACATCATTAACAATATCATCGTCCACTTGTCTTGTTGTTGTTTGAGTTTTTAATTTATCTTTGCTTTGTGATTTATTACATTCTTTTTTACTTTTCTCATTCTTCTTCACTTTTCTGTCCATTTTTTTTTAACGTTGCCCCACATTGGATATTCTCCTGTGTCGTGGGTGCGTTTACAAACATACAAGTTCACATACACAATGACACCCAGACCCGAAACAACAATTTGTGGATTACACAAAGTTTTGTTCCGTGCGGGAATCGAACCCGCGACACGTAGCACGGCAGCCTTTATTGACTTACTTTATCTGTCTGCTTTTTCTTTACAGCTAATTTGAACTTTGTTGACGCTATAGCAATCGGTTGTCGTTCTGCTTGTCGTTTGAATTTTCTTATAGGGGTTTTCGGAAATACTAGGTATTCTCCAAAAGATTTTATTTCTACCAACTTTGGACTCTCAATAATAGTAGCAGAGTCTGGAGTAACGAGGTCAGAAAAATCTTGAGTTTCAGAGTCACCCAGAAAAATACACTCAGCGGCACGGAAAGTGGCCCAAGTGCGTTATGTTGTTTATTATCAAAATGGACGAACGAAACAGGGTTTTTGTTGTTGTAAATCTTAAATGTTTATTCAGATCTTATGTGCTAACGATTACTTAACAAAAAAGTGAGTAAACATTAATAAAATTTCACAAAACCAGAAAAAGCATTTAACTTAAAGTTTTCAAAAAAATGTTTTTATATTAAATTACAAATTGAAGGTATGGTACTTAAAATTAATAACGGGTATTTCCACCT